GCCAGGTCATGGTTTCCATAGTCCCAGAGCCCTGGTAAGATTATTGTCCTTTTGTCATGTTAAATATACTCATCTTCCTATGGTGTGCGCACGACACCGTGTGGCTTTCCTATTCGAACTCGGGCGACCTGTTTTCCAAAGCTGGAGGGTATCTATGAATGCACATCCTACCCCATTTGATACGTCGAGTTCTGAGGCTGCAGCAAATTGTAAAAGCAAGGTGTTCCAGCAACTTAGGTAGTAACGGTATTCATGACATAACACAAGAAGCTCAAAATTGCAGAAGCTGGACGAGTAGTCTCTAGGTTCCTGTTGGGCAGAAAGAGGTTATTTGGATCGCAAATGAAATGCTGTTTTTCATTGTACTAGCACCGGGCATGGCATTTGGCATTGCGTCATCTGGCGTCATTATGTAAGATCTTCACCGAGCAAATCCTATGATGCATCTAGATGCGGAAAGATTCTGATGGAGGCTGTCACTCGTAGTATTTGTTAGCGACGGAGTAAAGGGGCTGGGGTTGTTTTCCTACTGCCTCAGTTGCTCGCAGCACCCAGGGCCAACGCATGAACCACAAGCACAAATACACATGAACCATTGTCTAAACTCCNNTCCTAGTATCCCCCTTAATAACCACAAAAGGAGTGCCCTATATAATCCCCTATATTGACCCCCTTAAAGGAGTTTAGACTATATAGCTCACATGAGCATGTCAAGAGCCATTGCTCAGAGGCGGTAGCAGCTTGGAATTGACATGCCTGTTGACACGTTCCCGGCACCATAGTTCACATCATCTGTTTGGGGTGACGTGCAGGACCATACAGCTTAACCCTATACCATCCCAGAAGATAAGATATCTCGATGCTGATTGTGAACCAACCGCAAGATACCGTCGGCAGCGTGATTCTGAATATTTCATCGGTTACATGTATTAAAGACATGTATTAAAGACATGTATTAAAGCATTATTTGTATTATTAGTTTTGTATTTTTGGTGGTCGTATTACCGCTGGTGGTAGTACTGTAGTAGTCTCAGTCGTAGCAAAAGTCGTGGTGGCGGCGCTGGTATTGGAAGTGGTACAAGAGTAGTGGGAGTCATCCCGTACACAACGCATTCAACTGGCTGCTGCTGGTGGTGGTGCGGGCATTCGAAGTTGTACATTTTGAGAAGGGGTCATGCCGTACACAAACCCATTCCCATGGCTGCCGCAGCGCTTGGTAAACGGCCTCTTCCCATATGTGCGATGGGCCCTGATCTGCTTCTACCAGGCACAGTACAGGATATTCTCTCGAGTGCGATTCAGTATCTTTCAGAGTTTTTCCGCAGCGCAATTTTCAAGAAGAGGGCGACGTCGCGTACGAGCAGCGACATCAGTTTCAAACAAGTACGTGTCTCAGGGATTGTCATTCATGCCCTGTGATGGAGGGGCTCCATGAGCTTTTGCATTAAGATCTGCATTTTCTCTGGCTTGATTTCGGGAACTCCTCAAGCGGCTGCAAGTTGATAGGTATTTTTCGTTGAGACCCGGGTTGCGTATGGAAAGTATGTGCGTTGGGTCCAGCCCTTGCCCCTCCAACCTGAGCACTTCAACAAATTGAGGCTTTTGAAGGGGATGTTTCTCAGAAAGTTTGGTATACGGTATACCTTTTTTTTTTTGGTGGCCCCCACATAATGCAAATATGGTAGTTTCCCAAAATAAGGAGACCCCAATATGGACCCCAATATTCTAGAATCCTTATTATGGGGACCCCCAAAATGGTACCCCTGATTCTGAGAAACCCCCTATCTCCTCGGGTTTTTTGGGGTAGCTGACTTGGATTAATTGCCACGGGACTGTCAGCTTCAGGGACGGCTGCCACAGGCCCTAAAGGCTCCACTTTCAAGATCTCCTGACACATCAGGGTTATAGTCCAATCTCCTTAGAGGGGGGAGGAAAGGGGATTGTGTATGAGATAGAGCTTCTTAAGGGGGATACTCGGAGTTTGGACTATGACACATGTGGGTATCTCGACTTCACGCTTCGAAGCTGCAAGATCACCTTCAACACCTGAACCCAAACATGAAAAAACCTTATCGTAAAGCTTGAGCACGATGCGCGTGCCTAAACCGTTTTACGGACTGGCAACCCTACATCGGGATCACGCGTCCTGATCGCCATCTACCTCCTGCAGCATGCAGAAGTAGATCTCGCAGAGCAACATAGCCAGCGCCTTGTTGGACTCAAAACCCTACTGGGCTTTCACATCTGTGCAGGCCTTAGACCGGCTACGGCTACCCATGACTTTGCCTGTTCCTGCACGCAATTGGCCGGCTCCTGGGCATCTGTTCTGGGTCGGAAGATCAAGAGCTTCAGGGCATGGGTATGTTCAAAGCAGGTTCTTTCGCCGCTGCCAACAAAATTTTAGGAAACTTTCGTATGAGCGAGAAGTAGCCTTGGACTAGGACTTGGATTGTCTGGGAGCAAGTAGCCGCATGGATCATACACATCAGGACGTTACTGAAGCCTTGGCTTGCGGCTGCTGCGAGCACATCTGTATTGGCCATGGCCTTCCAAAGCGGGCGGTGCAGGACCTGGTTGACGATTTCTTGGTCGGATGTGATTCAGAAAAGGGTTAAAATGGGAACCCCAAACAGGGAATCCCAAGAATATAGTCCCTTTAATTCAGGTTTTCTGTGGATCTTAATTGCTTCAACTGGTAGGCCTTCAAAGGAGGTCTCCATGGAAGGGCCTCAGGATGAAGGGCGATTGCTAAGAAGGAGCCCCACTGCTTACATGCTGTCTAGGAACTATAGTCCCCCTTAAGTAGATAGAATATGGGGTATATGGGTATCTTATTGTGATATACTCAAAGCCATATTCTATCTACTTAATGGGGACTATAACATAGCTTGGACAAGTACTGCGAGTGTGCCTTGAAAACTCATGGGCAAACACGCTTCTGTGGAATCTGAAGTGGAACCCCACAGAGCTGTAGACTTAACCTTTTGCCGGGCATGTGCGGGGTCTAGGTCAGAAAGGTTTTAGGGTCAAGCTTGTTTCATGCAGTCTATGCCTCACTAGGCCCCAGACGGAAGCCAGCTGCGCGAGTCGGAACGTGTTTTCTTCAAGGAGTTTACCTTCAACCCTACCTAGACCCTCTAAGAGTCCCAACCAAAAACGCACCCAACTCAAAAAGGAAGTGCATTGGAGGGTCCAGGTCTATCTAGCTAGGGTCTGAGGCTTACATCGCCTATAAGCTTAGGGGCAAGTCCGCCTGGACCCTGCGGAGCGCTTGCTTGAAGTCCAGCTTTCTTCAGGGCAGGGTAGCTAAGGAGAAGGCACGTGAGGTCAGAACTGGATATGAGCTATAGTGAAATTACAAATTGAAGGAGGTTATATAGGGGATCATATCGGGAAGTATCATAGGGGTTACTAAGGGGAATGCTAGGTCTTCAGACTTTAGACTATAGCTCATGTCAGTAAAGCTCGTGACCCAGAGATCTTTCAAGCGCCTAGCTCAGCAGGGAATATCAAGCTACAGCCAGGTAATATCCCATGGGTTTTTGTAGGTGCAACTATAGTTAAGGCCAGTGCTTGGTACTAGCCATGAACCAAGACAACCGCTGAAAGGAGGCATTGGTCACCCCTATGGGGATTCCGGGAGATTGCCAGACCGCGCCCTTCATTGCCATTTGGGGAGGACATGCTGGCAGCTAGGCTGACAGTACTCCGTGTAAAAGGTTGGGGGGGGGGGGTAAATTGATTTGCCATGAGGCCTTATCCTTATCTATTTAGTGATTTCCGAAGCCGACTTTCCGAGAAAGCCCGATGGGCTGGAAGTGCACCAGTCTGCCCCAATGTGAGATTTTCAGAGTTGGGTCTTTTTGGGTTTCCTATGATAAGGGTTGCTGTGCTTTGAGGTTCTAGATTTGTTTAATTAGATTTCAGTTGGCCGTAAGTCGATTTAAGCTACGACTTAACATGTATTTTGATTTGATTTCAAGTAGACTTTGATTGAATTTAAATCGGTTTTAAGCCTTCGTTAATGGTTTTAATAAGGTTTTAGTTGATTCTAGTTCAATGTATGTTCGTTCCAATTAGATCTACCTGGATCCCCTGTAGTTTTTTGCAATAAGCGCCCCCCGCCTCCCCGGCCCCTGAAAATGAACATTCTGGCATTACGGGGCAGACGTGTATTCTTGGGGGGGAAGACATTAAAAGGAGCCGAAACACCAAGCCCAGACAGAGCCTCAACCGCCAGAGCTTCGCGTTTTTTCTTGGTCCACTGGCCAGTTGCAAGGCTTTGACCGAGCTGTGATGATTTGGAGCCAAGAGGCTCTCTCTTGGCGTTGTGCGGTTTTTTGTGCAAATGGACACATGAACAGCGCGTAGGACCAGGAAGGAAAGTGCCAGCATATGTAGAAGCTTGTGAAATTACCTTTGAGTTTGGAGATCAAGTGCAGGAGCAGTATTGGGGTTTCCGCAGGTATGTCTCCCAACATTTGAGTGGTCCTGCACATGCCAGTTCTGTCTGAGGTCTAAAGGATATACAGGAGCAGATCAAAAGACTAGGACCAATAATAATAAGCGATTGCAGCAGCAACTCAGAGCTCGAGCAAAGCAACACTGCATAGGCAATGAAGACGACTTCAAGTGCATGGGGCTTGAGGGTCTGCAAACATATTCAGGTCAGCTCAAGTACCAGTGATAGGGCTTTAGAAAAGACGCAGATTGCAATAGGAAGCTTCGAAGCCAGTATCGCGTGATCAATACGCTAGGAGTGCTCAATTGGACAGCTTCCAGCAGGAAACATGTGAGATTCATGCTGTCGGTGGGACAAGGTGATATGCAGCGCATTATAAAGCACATAAGTTGTGCTTCGAGATGCCAACTCCCACCCCTGAAAACTCACGATATCTATCACCATTACCAGTCTTTCTGATATATGAACTAGACGTACTTCTAGTATTACCTCTGCTGCTGAGCCCGGACCCGATTTCAAGCTGCCTGGCTTGGAGGTCATGGAGGCTGTCAATGCAGAAGGTGCTACCTTCTTTCCGGGCGCCAGTGGCGAGCAAATCGTCCTAAGTGCCTTGACCCGCGCTTGCCAGAACATTGTTTTGAACGGCCTCTTGGTTTATCAAGCTTTGTTTTTGTATTTGTACATGTCCCACAATACTGCTAGCGTAAGGTTTTTGTTTACAGCCAACCCTGACCTGAGTACGTGGGACAAAGAGAGAGAGAGAGAGAGAGAAAGAGATTGTAGGTAGTCATGGAGTTGACCTTCACGCAGTCCTTACTCTCGCTATTCTACTCTCACTATTCGATGGGCATAGCCAGTATAAGAACCAAGAGAGAGAGAGAGAGAGAGAGAGAGGGATATAAGAAGAAGAAGAAGAAGAGAGAGAGAGAGAGAGAGATATATATATACATATGCAAATATAACACCTTACCTAGACATGCCAAAAAACTTATGGCCTATGGTTGATGATGATTATGATGATGAGAGTGGCCTTTGCCCCAAAACGAGCTGTCTAAGGGTCTAAGGCTAGTATTCAACTAACCCTAAGTCCCTACACCCTAAATCCCTAAACCCCAAACCTTAAATCACTAGAGCCCGAAGAGGCGGAGTTGCCTGGGGGCTAATGAAAACTGGCGCGAGACTGCTCATCGGGAAGAAGGTGGGGCGTAGGTTCACAGGAGATGAGCCACCCATCCCACCCTACTTCGGGTTTAGGGTTCAGGGTCAATGTTTCAGGGTATAGGGATCTAGGGTTCATAGGGTTCATAGGGTTCATAGGGTTCAGGGCTTTGGGTTCAGAACCTACAGTCCCCCCTACCGAAGTGTTGCCTGCATGTTTGCAAGTCACATTTGTTGATGACCTTCAAGGTTCTCCCTAGGACCCTTGAGTACACTTAGCTGGGGCCTGCAGAAGGTGTGGTTGCTAACGTTGGGCCTGCACTCAAGGGTCATTTGGGGGAGTTTGGAGTTCAAAAGGGTTGGAGGCATCAGATCGACTTTGAAGGGATGAGATGTACGTGCGATGATGGAGATAAGATTACTTTACAAATGCAAGTGCGTGTGAAATCGTATGCGCCGGCCTCCCATTTCGCCTTCCTTGTTGGGAAGGTATCTTTTGTGAGGGATGGTAGGTAACAGAAGCGGGTACCCTCACCAGAAGCAAGCTACCAAGGAGGTGTTCGGTAAGGTTTCAATTTCCCGCAAGCCTGTAGGATGGACATGACCATCGTGTCAAGCTGCTCTTCGCGAAATATGTTGTTTCGACAGAGACCCGATGTATCACCACAGCTTTGATTCAGGTGCTCTTGGAGGTCACCTATCTCAAGGGCCCGTGCAAGAAGCAGGACCCAAACTTCCCATCGCCAGAGGCAACTGATTCGTTGTTGTTTTTTTGGATAAGTTTAGGACTTGTAGGACATTCCAGAAGCATAGGCAGAGAAGTATATCTTGAGGTACATTGTAGAAGTGCAGCTATTTGTTTCTTTGCTCTTCTGCCAAGCTGCCCAAGCGCAGTGAGGCAAAAGCGCGGATCAGCCCAACGAAGAGCCTCGGCTGCAATCGCTTTTGGCCGCAGGGGCCTGAAAGCAGCTTCGTGCGTATGTATCTGTCAGGTGGGGAATAACTAAGGTGCCGTTTTCAATTCTTTTGCTGATAGGCTAGCTCGGACTGGGTTGCTGGTAAGGAACGTCAGCTAAGTTACCAACAAAGGCTAGACTGTACCATTTACTGTGTATCTCCATTATGGTAAGTTAGCTTACTCTTCTTAACAGCACCCCAAAATATTACCTTAATATATCCCCAAAACAACCCCAATGTCAATTAAATTCCAGCAGACAGCCAAGGTTTCCGGACTCAGCGCGAGTCCTGGCCAAAGTCCTCAAGCCTGGGCGAAACTTGCACGATTTGTTGAAAAACTGCTGTGCCTTGGGGCTTAGAAAAATTATATAATTCAACTCAATCATGCACCGCTTGGAATATCATGCTCAAGATAAAGCTTAGGAATTTCGCGGGGCGATCGTGTTCTTGTGTTCGAGCACCCCGATGGCCCGCAGAAGCTCTTGATTCAGCACTGAGGCCGCTGCTGAACACAGGCAGTGGAGTCTGTAGTGACTTTTTTGGCCCATCCAGCCTTGCGCTTAGAGCATGCATCCCCCACTCAAAGCCAAAGTTCTCTGGCATTTGTACAAAGGTGCCTGTGTCGTGGAAGGTGGCTGGCAGCTGGCCGTGTATCATGAATCGCCTCGCGAAATAATGTGTACGCGCCAAGAGTTTCAAGAGTTTTTTCCGTAATGGTTTTGAGTCACGCCACGACACGCGTCTCAGCATACATTCCTGCTACTTGCAGTATTATGCTTACATAATCTCATGGTGCCTTTATACCTGCAGGAATGTGTACTTTCAGGTGGGCGTTCTTATCAGTAGAGGACAGAAGATAACCAGCAACGCCTGGCTTCAACTCGCGCGGTGCAGGTAGGACTGAGGCAACTGCCCGGGAAGCACCCAGTACATTGCACAAGAATAAAAGAATCCGAAGCTGCAGACGCTGAGGGGTTCATCTTGCAAGCACCGAAACAAACAACATCTTCAAGAGATCACTGCAGGCTTCTTCCATTCGAGCACCACCTTGTCATGCGAATTCACCCTTCAATCCCAATCCCCAAAACCCTACACCCCCCGAAAGCCTACTACCAAGACCCAAAACCTTCAACCCTGATACCAAACCCTGAATTCTGTTCCTAAAGCCCAAAACCTAAGTTCTAGTACCAAAGCTCTAAACCCCAATCCCTCATACCGAAACCTTAAACATAAACCCTAGCACCAAAACCCTAAACCCTAATACCAAACCCGAAACCCTAAACCCCAAACAGGGGCATTAATCAACATCGTCCGGGCACCTGCTTGGATTGTACAAGCCGTCATACTTCCTTGTTCAATTGTGGGAGTTTCCCAAAATAAGGTGTACCCTTTAAAGGGGTTATAGGGGACATTTAGGGTTTAGGGTTTCCCGAAATTAGGCCTACCTTGGGGATCCCCAGAAGGATGATTGTAGCATTTGGGGGGCTATCTTGGGGCCCCCTATTTTGGGAAACTACCATGTTGTTCATGTTTTAGGTGCAGCTGCCTTCTAGAAAGCATCCTCTTCTGAAATGCAAGAAATTCCCTAAACCTTAAACTCTACTCGAGCTTCATAGATCGCAGAATTGTGAGTGAGACTTCGTCGAATAAGTCGCCACTCCTTATGGAGGGGAAGGGAGCTTAGGGCCGTTTAGGGTTTTGGGGGTGTTCCAGTCAGAGGGTCTGCAGTACTGGGGTTAAGGATTTCAGAAGTTGAGGTGTGGACATCACACGTACATGCCCGGGAACGGCTGGTCTAAGCCAAACTTTCGTCACATGTCCATCTGTTTAGGACATCTTGAAGCTTTCTATCTCAAGTGTACAGGCTTCATAGCCCCCGGAGCCTCAACCCCACACCCCAAAGCGAATCCCCCTATCCTATAGACCCCAAACCCTACCCAAGGGCTGTTGTGTAGTTCCTTTTTGTGTCTTTTATGGTTTTGGGTAAGGGACTATATGATACCACCCAAAGAGGACCCTACATAGGAGGGTCTGGGTAAAGCCAATGCAATCCCAGGTTTTGACGCCCCCAAACAATAAACACTAAAACCCCCTCCCCCCCATGCATGATACCCAGGTTCCGACGGCGGGTCAATAGCCGGCGACTCCGCCCCTTGGAAATGGCTTATCTTACCGGGGCTTAGTAGGGTATAGGGTTTAGGTAGGGAATAGGGGAATATACTATACAGGGACTATACAGGGAGTACATTCCCTTATTACCTGCTAAGAACCAGTAAGTTACATTAAGTTATGGTGGTGTGCAAGGCCTGAGGTCATAGGGTTTAGTGGGGACTGTTGATGTTGGAATCAGAGCGTAAGATGTGGCCAAGGATTGAGGGAGCCAACAGGAAGAGAGCAGTTACCTCATTCACTGATCTAAACCCTAAACCGCATCCTTATCAAGGCCCACTGCAGTTTTTGCATCCCTTCAGTGAACCCTAATCCCTAATCGCACAACGCTATCAGAAGGACGTGGCAAAATATGTGCATAGGACTAAGCTCCAACTCTTACAAATCCTAAAACCCTACATAACCCCATTATAGTAGTTTCCATTCCTTTTCCGTTATCTCTATATGGGGGCCCTTGGGACCTGATTCGGTGGTGTCCTTTGACTCCAACTTGCATGAGCCCGGATAGCAAGGACCCGTTTGAGTACGAGGATGAGGCGATGGATGTTGAGATCAGGTCCGTCAACGAAGAGGACGTTGGCTGTTTGTGTTCTCCTCAGATTTCAGGATGCGGTGTCTGAGATTTCAGTTCACGGCTGGGGATTCCTAAACCCTAAAAGGGATTCTGGCCTTCACCCTGAAGCAAACAGCATCTATAAGTGTAGCTCTGTTGCGCCCTTCAGCCTCACATGTATGCATGCATGCAAACATGAATGCACACATTCCTGCATTTGCTCACTCATCAATTCAGCCGTTCATCCAGCCATCAATTCTTGGGTTCATTCATTTCATTCTCATGTTCTTCTAGTCATCTTCGTTCACTCACTCATTCATAGGTTGGTTTGTTTGTTCGCTCGTTCGCTCGTTCCTTCCCTCCTTCTTTCCTTCTTCCCTCATTCCTTCCTTCATTCACGCGTTCATTCACTCATTGATTCAGTCACTCATCCACTCTTTCACTCGATCACTTCTCCACGCATTCGCTCATTCATCCCACCGTGTCCCTCACAACTTCTTTCCTTTCTCACACATACATAGACATACATGAAGAGTACATAGAGACATAGAGAGAGGGAGAGAGTGAGTGAGAGTAGAGAGAGAGAGAGAGATGTTCTCTCAGCAAGCAAGGACTTGGTAGAGGCTTCAGTGGAGATTTAGAGATGTAGACATCATAACTATAACGTGAGACTTTGGGTGTCCAGCACAAGACCAACCTCACCTTCAGCTCTGAAGATGGGCTTAAGTTGTTAAAGAGGTTTCAAGCCCATGAAGGAACCCTCAACTGCCACCACATTGCGAGAGCTCGCTAGTCTGCAAGGAGGTATGAAACATACGTAGGATAGGATTGGGATGGGTTGTATGGCCCCCCCCAAAAGCCGTAAGGTCCCAAGTACCTGAATGATATATAGTTTGGGCCCAAAGTACTTCTACAGAGCCTGTTTCCGCAAAAAGTATATACCATTTACGCAACACTTGGACTCCTGGGGAAAGGTTCCCTGCTCCGACTCTTTCGAAAGAGGTAGAAGCCCGTTGTCATTACAGGTGCCTAAACGCGAGGTTCGTCTGCTTTGCTTCAGCAACACTGAACCCTGAAGCCACACCCCCACGCTTCAAATTGTGAATTATCTAGACTTCCCAAATGCCCATAATCCTGGCCTGCAACCCAGGATGAATACATAAGCTGCTCTCAGATAATCAGAATAAAAGTACGTGGGAGGCCTTGGTAGGCCTATGGTCCCCCTTAAGTAGATAGAATATGGGCTATATGGGGATCTTATTATAATATACCCAAAGCCATATTCTATCTACTTAAGGGGGACTATACAGCCTGGCCAGGACGACGCTCCAATGCCCATCGTTCCGCCAGAAGTGCGGAGAGCTCCCTACTCAATCATGAACAGAGGACTGGATCACTGTTAGGGATCCTCTATAGGGATGTATTGGGGTTATATAGGGATATTACAGGGTTCGGGGTTTAGGGTTTAGGGATCCTTTATACTTTTGGGTGTGTGGGATTGTACATATTTATGTAAAAAGGATCCTTTTTCCTTCTTAGGGTAATGCGGGCTAAGAGGACAGGACCTCTCAACACAGTGTTCCCAGGAGTCACACAAAGCGAGTTAGGTAGGGTAGCGTCCGGGGTGTGGTCAAGGTGTGGGGCTTCGGGGATTGGAATTGGAGTTGAGCTGTAGCAAAGCTTTCTGAAAATCAGGCATCCTCTGTAATGTGGTATGTTTTTGTGATAAAGCATTGGCACTTTTCGTCTTAAGGTGCCACGGCCGTCTCAGAAGCATAGTTATCAGCAGCGGCTCACAGATCATGATTATGAGCCCATGGACTTCAATGATAGTGACCGGGGTTGTGGTGATTATTAGTCACGACTCAAAATTTGTTGCCTGGAGTTTGTATGCATGAAAGGTTCTTGGAATGAGAGGCTCCTGGGATGGTAGCTTCTATTGGTATCCGACCGGCATGATTTTACGGATCCGGATACGGGGCCTAAAGTTTAGTGCTTGGGGTTTCAGCGTGTGATGCCTGAATCATCACCGAACCTTGGACCATGAAACCGAGAAGCTCCGTCATCCTACTAATGGATTTCCGCGGGTTACATTTGGCCACGCTGGAGCTTCTCAAGAAGACATTCTACTTCATCATCCTGCAGGGACACGGCTACAATCTCTATCCGCATGCGTGTAAGTTTTACGTGTAGATAGACATGTCTGTCCCATGTGTGCACATGTATATGTGCATACATATATATATATACATTTATCTGTTTATGTGTAGAACGACATTTGAGAATTGAAGTGACTGCATACCTAGCAAGAACCTGAGAGCCATGCATTGCATAGGGGAAGAGGTGGAATGGCCATGTAATATGGGTGGACCCAGGACAAGGCTGTCTTGGGACCCCGTAGGGATGTACAGGGATTGTTGTGGGGGTCTCTACTAGGGATCATGTCGGGTTAGGTTGAGACACTCCTTCACTCTGTGGCGACAGCGTCAGCTTTGAGTTAGCAGATGTTAGCAGCTAGCATTACGGTCCAATAGAGGGTCTTCAACTGGGTGGCTGATAGGCAATTTAATTTGAGGGACTATTTTGGGGAAACCCTATTATGTACTATATATATATATATATACCCATGATGCTAACTTAACATAAGTTCCTTAACAGCACACCTGCTGCTAATGGAGGCAACCTTTTGGGCTTCAGAAACTGGGATGCTGCAGGCTCAGGGCGTCAAAGCTTGAGGCTGGGACACTCCGCACGGCCACTTGGGAAGTGAAGCCATGCAGGGGCTGGGGGACCTCTTATTTAATTGGTTGCAAGAGGTTTATTCTTGGATGAGTTTGGGCATGCACGCAAGCACCTATAGTCCCCCTTAAGCAGATAGAATATGGCTTTGGGTATATTATAATAAGATCCCCATATACGCCATCTTCTATCTACTTAAGGAGGACCATGTCTCCAGGATCCCAAGATTCTCCTCTCTTTAAGACCATTCCCAATCGCGAGGAGAGCTGGAGAACCGGCAGAAGAAGAGCATCGCCGAGGTTGCTGGGAGAAAGGGTTTCGGGCTAAGGGTGCCTATATACCCTCAGCCCTATAAACCCCAAGCCCTAACCCTGCATAGCTACTTTGGGAAAAACAATTTTAGCTCACGCGCTCCAGCTGCGAGATCCTGGCATGTACCACTGCGTACAGGACACTCGCACATTGAGTGCAGGCCCACCTCACCACGTGCGGCGAAAGTTCTCGCCAATCCGCTTTGCGTTTTCTGAGTTGTCGAGTTTTGCTTCTTGAGTTTCGGACACGGATGCCTCCCCTGGGTCAGAGTCAAAGGTCAGGAGTCAGGAGACCATGGTTGTTGCTACGACATTGCCACGTATTACCACTGTTGTTGATGATTCGCGACGATCACCTACACTTCAGGGCCGTGATGCTTCTATTCATGGGCACGAACGTGCTGCAAGCATTCAAGCAAGTACGAGCCTGACAGCCGAGATGAAGCTCGTGGCCTTCAGGAAAACATTTCTGATTCTTGTCTTGCGAAGGCTGAGAAGAAATATTTTCTCCCAACCATTGCGGATGCTTGCCGCATGTAAGTGCAGCGGAGACCCAACTCACAACACGCGTTTGTGTTGTGACTCTCGGGGCATCGACCAAGGGGGTGTCCGGTGAAGATCCAGAAAACTTTACATTTGGCCAGCAAGGCTGGACGCAGAGTTGAGGGCGTGCACGAATGGAGGCCTCACGCAGCCTTGCATCATCATCATCCTCCTCCTCCTCCTCCTCGTCCTCGTCCTCGTCGTCGTCGTCGTCGTCGTCGTCATCGTCATTATCATCATCGTCATCATCGTCATCATCATCGTCATCGTCATCATCATCGTCATCATCATCGTCATCATCATCGTCATCATCATCGCCATCATCATCAGCATCACCATCATCATTTGTCATCCTTGTCCTCAGCACTCCATAGCGCAACCATGCAGCCAGTGAACACAGCAGAACCGCGGAAATGCAAATTTATCACTGACGATGTCATCGGTGCACTTATAGATTCCAAAACCAACATGTAAGCCCAAGCACGTGGTAGTTCTGACGCGCTTTGTTTCACCATGGCTTGAGAACCCCTAGAAGCAACGTCAGCCTCAATTATTTCCTGAAATCCGTGACCTGAAGCACTTCCTTAATATGCTGCTCCCCAAGCACGGACAACATTACCCAGACCCTCCTATGTAGTTCTTTTTTGGGTACTATAATAGAATCCCTCAACCCTAAACACTAGACCCAGACCCAAAAAGGAACTACATAGAAGCCGTTGGGTAGACAATCGGTATCCAGACAGCAGGGAGAATTGTTGCTTCGTTTGGTTGTAGTACTTCAGGATGAAATCAAGTCTTAGCAGGTTCAACAACAGAAAAGCCATGGAGCACCAAAAACGATCAGGGGTACGCACCTAAAACCTGAGCCTTGAATTATTTTGGCCCCCGTGCATTTTTCTACAGAAGGGCCGGCAAATGACGTCTTGTCAAGAGTTGGGCTTCTTTTTGCAAAAGCATCCTGAGCAAACGTGAGAGAAAGGCCCGCGTTAGGGCGCTTAGGGTTCGATTTATATGACGTATTTATTGACCCAATCCAGCCCTGCTTGAAAGCCCCAGTCCTCAATCCCCGAAACTCCAGAACATCAGCGTAGGCTTCGGAGCTACTGCAAGTCTCCATCGAGGATACCGGATCAAAGCCAAGGGTTTATGCATATTACATGGGCATTTCATGGCTTCAGCTTACTAGGGTAACAGCACATGAAGATTTGATAAAGTCTTACTTACTTACATCCCGCTCAAGGAGCACACAGGAGAAACGATCTTAGCAGGGTGCTTTGCCTTTTTAGACTGAGTGAATCTTATGGTTTTGAAATCTATCTTTCATGCAGTCTTCTACAGTCACTCGACCCTGCTTGCAAAGTGCTTCAGTGTAAAGTCCGAGATTGGCCTGGCTTGTTTTCCATTGAGCCGTTTTACTTGCAATTAAGCATGACACCCTCCTCCTCTTCCTCCTCTTCATGGTACATGCTCCTTGGATAACGAGAAAAATGATCAGACGGGGAAGCAATATTTCAACCTCGGGCCAAAAGTTTACCTTGTCAGAGCTTCTCAGAAGCAATCATTCAATACAAAGCTGTGGCCAACAAAGTTGTTCCTCAAACCTGGGGGCTCCCGGAAAAAAGGATGCCTTCAGTGGCGAAAGGTTCGGGGAAGTGGCGTGTTTTTGATGGGCAGAAGACAAGCACGGACGCTTCCTTCACATAGCCTGCGGAAGGAAACTGCAGCCGACCTTGCCCTTCCTCAGCTCAGCCTGAGAAAAAGATGCTGGGTTCGGAACAAATTCGTCAGTAAACCTCTTCATGATCTCCTGAGCCCGAAACCCTAGACCTAGTCTTTTGGCCTTCTGGTTTTCGATGGAGCTGGGTCCACACCGAAGAATGCTGGCAGCCTTCCTCTTGCATGTGCCCATTGGCGGCTTTGATCTGTAGATCTTGCATGCTCCCACACAATCGCCCCCGAACAACGCCTTTCCACAAGTGCCAGTAGCCAAGCCCCTAGCCCATGGAACCTAAACTGTTGAAAACACAATATGGGTCAAGCATCTCAGGGGTTAATTCTTTTCTTTGTACTACCTTTATGACTGATCAATGCGTAGCCTTTATAAAATCAGAAAAACATGATTCCTATGTGGGCGCAAAGCCTACTCTACTTTTGGAGTACGCAGGATGGCTTCGTGCTACTCCGAGTCTTTGGTTGGGACCTGCTGAGGCTACAGGCGCGTCCTGCATTGTGAGGGTTTAGGGACTTAGGATTCGTAGGCTGTGGGGGTTGTGGCTCATCGGTTCTAAGGATATAGGGCTTGGGGACTTCTAGCTGAGGATGTTTGAGGCCGGAATCGGCGGCTGCGCTTTGCATACTTCATAACTTGAAGAAAATAGTTTAGCCTCCTCCCATAAGGTTTGGGGGTTTCAAGGGTGGAGGCTTTCATGGCTGGAAACAATCCATGGTCTTCTGATCCCACCCCAGTTCGAAGGCCACGCACTGCTGAATCTAGGGCGGTCGCACAAAGACCCAGACGATTCAACAAAGCCACGGTGTCCCTGGGGCCTCAGCACCACCATAGGGAAACTTTTGGTTTCTTTGCATCCTAAGCCCCAGGCAAATCACGAGAGCACTGTCCAAAAACAGCCGGATTCCCCTCCCTGACCCTGCAGGAGGCGTGGTTCGACAATGACCTCAAGGCAATCAGACAGTCCAAAGCCGTAGAAGCCAAACCGCCTCTGCACATAGTAGAGTACAGGGTTGTAGCCAACCAAAGGGACGCAGGAACAAGTACACATTACATTAGTAAGTCACTAGTAACTTGGCTCGCTTCAGGGCGCAAGGATATTTGAGCTGGCCGTGTGCGTACCACTTGTAGTTGTACCTTGCAAAGAGGGTTTAGGGTTCACCTAGGTGAATCTGTCCTTGCAGCCAACCACAGCCGGATGGTCTAGAACAAAAGGAACCCAGACACCCCAAATGCCTTGTTCGTACTCGGTTAAGGGTTTAGGGTTTGGGTTTAGGGCTGTATAACCCAATATTCTGCGGTTGAAAGTCTAGTGCTGCATTATGGACGTCTGGGACTTTGGATGTTGTGGCAGCCCTGCGTTGAGAAACTCCAGCTTGAATACTTAGTCCATGTGACGTGAGGGAGGCTCATTTCTTGGCAAGATTTTCCCGAAAGAGGAGTCTGAATCAATCACCGTTTTTGCAGCTTGATGCTCTGAAGCATGTTTGTTTTTTACTAGCAAATGCTGATACTGGCGAGCTACAAAGCCCAATTAGCTACAATCAAGAAGTCGACTACACACTCCCCAGCAGCTAGTCAGCAACCTCACTGGGGGTTAGGGGGGAATAAGGGATGTATTATGTTAGGAATTATATAGGGATTATATTTCCTTATTCCCTACGAACAAGCAGTAAGCAACAGGTGCGACAACGTTGTGGGCTCAGCGCCTTATGTCCGTCGCCTGTGCCATCTTCCGTGAAGTCAGGCAGGAAGTTTCCAACGTTCATTTGGTAATTTTCATAAAATGGGGCGGGCACCCCAATGTAGACCCCAAAATACAATAATCCTTTTTATTGGGACCCCCCAAAAAATTGTACCCCTAGTTTTAGGAATCCCCCATTTGGTGCAGGTTTGGTAGAAATTGGTGGCTACCAGCTAGGCTAGGAGAGCAGATAAAGCCCTATCTTCCTATCTCCTAAGCCCTTTTCACCCTTCACCCCAGGAATAAAGGAAGATAATTCCAATATAATTCCTATATGGTTGAGGGTTTAGGGTATATGTAATACATTCACTTATCCCCTACTAGACCCCAGTAAGAAGAGCCGAAGCGTGGAGTCTGAAGAAGGTCCCAAGACTTGCTCCATTTGCATGTCCGCTATCGACGACTTGATTGCCCTGGATTGTGGGCATGGCTTTTGTGCCTCTGATTTGAAATGAGCACGGTTCCTTGTAGAGGAGCGTGAGACTGGCATTGATCTCCTACCTTCGACCATGCGCGTATATGTCAGATTCTCGAACAAAGTCCTTTACATATACAGATTATATGTATTTTTTCATTTACGTATACATCATCCCTCATACAGACCCCTATCCACCCTGCAATCCCCGTACATCCCCATAAATCCTTAAGATGGACAATTATGACAACTATGACCATAACCATGATCCATCAAAGTGTGCTTAGCATTGAGGGGGCTCACTCCTGGCTCGAAACAGGATTCACGGTTGAGGGTTTGGGGTTTCGGGCTCAGGACTTAGAGGATTAGGACTTAGGGTTTTAGGTGTTTAGCCGTATTCTATGTCAGAATTCGTCATTTAAAGCTACTCCATTCCCGTTCAAAATTCATGCGCGCCCTGGCCTTCACGTCATCTTTCAGCATCGCCAACCATAAACTTCATAATGAGAATATGTTTGATATTTGAGGGCGTGGGGGGGATTCACCCACATCCATGAAGATGTAGAGCGCAGGGAACGAGCTTCCAGGCCGGGATCCAGACTCTACGATGTCTATGGCTTCCCTTGAGAGCAAAACCTGCAGGGCCAAGAAACCTAAATGGTAGATAGTTTTGGCCCCAAGTACCTACATGCGAGCCCTTCTGGGCCCAAATTCTATACCAAAACCCTACTCCCTAAACCCTATTTCGGCCTGCGGACTCACACATGCTTCCGCTCCTATTCCCTAGTATCCACTGCTTTTCATGGTTTTTAGGTTTTAAGGGTTTAGGGTCAAAGGTAGATGCCTGGGGATTGACACAGGGCTTTCAAGACAGCAACTTACTCTGCAGGTAACTGCGCAAACTGCGCGTTCACGGATTCCTTGACTGCTGCCAAAATGAGTAGTTTCCATTTTCTTTTCCATCATCCCTATATAACCCCAATATACGCCTTATAATCCCTAAATATATCCCTGTATAATCCTTACGAAGCGTTCAGGAGCTTCTGGCTGCCTGGAGGCCGAATACAGGGAGCGAGAGTTGGAGAAACCCTCGAACCGACCTACACTCACCCCGAAAACACACCAAATGAGACTCCCTTTCAGGTCTTTTGGTGTAGGGTTCTAGAACCATGGTTCCAGCCATTCTCTGAGGTGCAGAATGCTGGAGGGGCTACCTCCAAACGCAGGTGGACGACGGCAAGTCGGCCGTGCAGACACGCAACTGGGCTATGCCGCAAGCATCTGTTGTTTTGGGGAAGGGTCCAGGGAAGAAATGAGGGTTGAAAGAGCAAGGATAGAGCAAAAGGGTTGCTCAAGATTCGGCGGGGTAGGGATCTTGGCAGGACAGCACCAAATATACTTGGATAATATCATGACATCGACGCTTCCTTACTCGCAACATAAAGCTTGTGGGAAGCTATCAGGTGTCGTTTTAGCATTTGATGGACGCACGCAACAATGCGGAACAAAAAATCACATTGAACAAATACGCACACTCCTCCGCAGATGTGAGGCTATGCTGCTGCTAGGCCAGGCAGAGCGTTTCAATGAATGTTGTCCTACGGGACTCACTTGTTTCTGACACCAAGTTGGGCTCCGGGAACGTGATAGGACACGAATCCTCATAACATGGATAGAGAACTCAGGACAAGTAGTGCAAGCATTACGAAACTGTTGGGGTTCAGGCTTTTGTATGCTCTGGGCTGTTATCGCTGCTCGATTCTTCTGAGAAGTGCACAGCATCGTCAAACGACAGTCTTCGATCTCGTTACCGCAACTTATCTGGGGGTTGCCAGAATCTTAGGCGGATAGTTTGTGCTTTGCGCATACCAGGCAGACCCCCAAAAGATGAGTTCGGAAGAGGGGAGAGGAAACAAGGCAAGTTATTTTGGGCCAGCCCCAAAACTACAACCCATGAGGCGTTCAGCAACGATTCCTATGTCTAGCCTTTAACACAGTCGCAGTCAGGGCCATGGGGTTCAGAGGCTAGAGCCCCAACCTCCCTCAGCTAGCATGCCAAGGCTGCCCGCAGCACAAATGCTCCAGGATGGGGTTCTGGGCTGGGCAGAGGGTACTTGATTTTGCGTTGTCCCTTTGCGGGTCCCCAATATAACACGGTGCCAGATGTTGAGGTGACTTCATAAAGGCGCCATCATTTAGACAACCTTCCGGATGTAGGGCTGAGGGTACAAGGCTTGAAGGGACTTGGTAAGATGAGACTTCGCACCGCTCGGGCTTACAGCTTTCAGGGCTTGGAGAGGCTGCAGGGTTTCGAAACGGATGCAGGCTCTCCAGAAGCTCTTCTTGTGGCTGGCCGTTTGTATCCAAGGGCCAACTTGCCCTCTGGCTTTTCACAACTAGGTCATTGACTAAGAATATCCAGGTCCAATCATGAAATCCAACAAGGCAAGCCTGGAGCCTGCTTGATAGAGCCAACACCGAAAGCAGGTCAGGTTGCTGTCTCTCAGCGCGGTCAGGAAGACTTCATGGTTTCCAGGTATCTAGAAAAGCTGTTCGCAGCATGCAGTCTTGAGACTCCTGCTGGTAAAAACCGTGAGGTGAGAGAAACATCGACAGCCGAACAGAGGAATATTGCACGCGAACTGTGGGCATTCTTGTTTCCGTTCAAAAGATGGTAGCATTCTTGCTTCCTTTCAAGAGATGGTAGCTCCTGCAACTGCTTCCATGCAAGACAAGGAGTTGGGGACTTAGGCATGCTCCTGATAAACCTCAGGTGAGTCATGGTCTGAGCTCGTTGAATCATTGAAAGGGGGTTATTCAGGGAGTTATGTAGGGGACTACCATAGGGCTACTAGGAGTTTAGACTGTAGCTCAGGTGGCAGGGTTCAAAGATTGCCCGATGGTATTCGAATGCTCCACATGTTGGCCCATGGCGCTTGCATCAGCACGGACGCAGGATAGTTCCTACAAACTTCTTTTCGCGCTTCTGTGACGAAGAGAGGCAGAAGAAGTACCAGGCGCATATTGAGTTGGGATTTAGTGCTTTATACGCAGAGTGTCACCTGACTCAGTTCAACCCTCTCATTCATAGCATGGGCATTTGCACAAGCAGTTGTCCCACTTATAATATGCCTTCACAAAAAGTTATCATGGGAAGTCCCTCGCAGAGACTCCTAATCGTTGGAAAGCTCATCATATCTGTGGCCCGAAGCACAGGCAAGTGATAGTAGTGGCACACTCAGCGTCGACGGACGTTAGGAAGCTGGCCCTGACAAGGTTACGCTTAGGCTTTAGAGTTTAGGCTAAGGGCGATTCTTTCAAAAAAATCCCCTTAGTCCAGTCTTGCATCCAACCTCCCTCCCCGCTCTCTGTCGCAACAGAATGGCTACTGAAACATTTCAGGTGTTTTCAATCACATTTGAGGTTCAGGAAGAAGGGGACCTCAAAGTTGCGAGATGCATGGGAACCCAAAGGCTCCATGCAGCTATGGAGTGTATACTTGAACCCTACAGTATTTACATGGCAGCCACTTCTTGCACTCGCCCTGAGGAACGTTCAGAGCATGATTTCAAGACTTGTGTTTTTCATTTGTATACCTTGCTGCTTGGGACACCTAATTTCTGGAGCTTGCCAGAATATATGTTCTTGAAGTGGGTATGTTGTTGGCGATCATCCTGGCTCCGGGAGAAGTTGTACAGAAGTGTTTGACTTCTTAACCTTGGGCCTCCAACCTTCAAAACTTGGTGACTTTAGCGGGTTTAAGTCAATGCATAGTGTGAACTACCAATGTTTGATGCTGGTTTGAGCGGAATATCTTATGCTTTCGCATTTTGTTGTTCGTGGCAACTCGTCCTGTTCGCTCTATGTACAGCTTCCAACCGCCTGCTGAAGGAGTGGTGCCTTCGGACCTACGTAGACGAGAACGCCACCGTGAAGTGGTGCACCAACCCGGTCGGATGCCAATACGTACCCTCAACCGAGTTTCGGGTTTGGGGTTTGGGGTTGGGTGCCGCAAGCAGGCCTTCAGCTTTGTTGTTGTGGGTGAAATTCAGGATTAAAGGGTGCAAGGCTTCATGAAATTTATTGCATCCTTGGGGATAAGGAACGCTTTTGGCCAATTTGTGCAGACGCTTGTCAGTGCAAGTGTGTCGACTACGGATTCCAACCTTGTTTCGTTATAGATACAACCCCAAGAGAAGATCTGCTCGCGTTCGGCTTCCGATTCTGCCGCCCAAATGACTCTCAAAGAAGTGATGAAATCAACCCCAAGCGCGTCTAATCATGATCATCAAAGGCTACAGCAGGAGGAGAGGAGGAGCTGGCAGAGTTGTTATGTGGGAAGAGGACTCACTAGGCACCATAGGTAGTAGAAAGAAGGTAGCGCAAGTAGAAGTATTATGTGGCCGCAAGAATGACAGCGGTGGCGGTGGCGGTGGTGGTGCGAGTTAGGAGCGCAGAGTCGCGATGGTGGTCTCCATCGCTGTTGCTCGCTTGCTGTTGCGTCGTCGGCAGCAGCGGTGGTGATGGTCAGCATGATGGTAATGGTGGTAGCTAGTGGCAAAAGTAATGGCGCAAGTTGGAATGCCAGGGCTAGCGCAAATGCCAGCACTACTGCGAGTAAGCTGCTAGTGGTCATTGTCCGTTGTGTTAATAGCCCAAGAATGCCCAAGACTAGGGCTCCAATCTTCAGCCACGCAAATCCTTCGCCACCTGCCCAAGGCATGCGAGTACCAAGGAGTCGCGGCCAGCTTGCAGACAACCCCCTCAACCACTGTCTTCAGAGCTTGTTTAGGTTAGGGTTGAGGGTTTAGGGTCATGTGAAATCTTCTCAAAAGATCCCCCCATGTGCTCAATACAGGGATGCCTTTAACAAGTACGCATTTCTTGGATTACTCAGGCACACCCGTTTTGCAAAATCCTTGTGTAAGCGAAGGCGGAATCAGACTCCGATGGCCTAAGCTGTGATTGCCATATAGTAGTTTCCCAAAATAAGGGGACCCCAATATAGACCCAAAAATACTATAGTCCTTGTTATGGGGAGCCCCAAAATGGTACCCCTACCCCCATATGCATTCCCGAAACTGAAGCTACGATTTCCGAGCTCCCGGATGCTTTTTTCTTGGGCTTGTAGAGTCCCTATAGAGCCAGCGGAAAGGTCAGCACCTGATTCATAGGGTTTCTATTGAGCCTCCAATTAATTTTGACTTGTTGGTTATTCTAATCCTAATAACAATAACTACCAAAAAATGTGAAATATACTTGGGTTCTGAGCCGGTTTAGGTTTAGGGTTGCCCTGAACGCGCTTTAACAGTCTAGATGTTTCTCAACAGTCCTCCGCTTCTGTTCTGCAAAAACAGCTCCAGTCAGAGCCAGCCTCTGGAACAGCCATTGTTTGCATCCATACTTTAGAAAAGTTTGCTACAAAAGCCCGAGTATTTAAACTGCACAAGCACTGGACGCGGCCTTAGCGGTCATGGAGGATGCTTGGGCAGTCTGCTGCTCAAGGCTGCATATTTCAGATAATATAGGGGCCTAAGTAATTACCAATATTATGGTTCCATATTCCTTGTAGAAGTATAGTATATGGTACCTCAAATGGACCTCAAAATGATATTGGTAATTATTTAGGACCCTGTAGTAGGTGTGTCTCAAAGCAGTGGCCGGTCTTTCAGTGCACTCTGAGATCAGAAGATCTTTGTGTCGAAGCAACTAACTTCCAAGTGAGGAGCGGCAGTCAAGCTACTAGCTCCCGCTACAGAATGACACAAGCCTTGTAAGTGTAAGTCACGGTAGGCCATAAGTAAATTCTCTTTAGAGACCCTTAGCGTTCATAGGGTATGTAAGGCTTACTCAATCCCGAACCCCAGTTTGTTGGACAGGACCTTGTTGAGCAGTGTGGAATCTCAGGCCGAAATTCAAGAAGTCTACTTTGTACGGTAAGGGAAGGGGAGAACGACCGCTTCAACGCCAGGCCACCCCATTGCGAGCATGTGAGGCAGTCTAAGCTCCTTAAAGGGTGTTATATGGGGCTTATATAGGGAAGTATTCTAGGGGTTATGAAGGGCGATACTAGGAGCTTAATCAATGGCTCATGTAGGAGCCCAATTTCTCTATGATGCCAAAGCCGGCCTTTGATGAGGAAACTGTGGACGTTCATTGCCTTTGTGCCTTCATTTGGTGCTGGTCATGTGGCGAGGAGGCCCACAAGCCTGTTGCCTGGCAAAACAAACAATGGCCGTTTCGAAATCGGAGGTCTGGAATTCCCACATACATATATTTGTTGCCAGCGGCTTAACACGACAAGCTTCAGGAGTTGCGTGGACCAGCCCGAGGTGTAGGGTGGAGGTTTTCGTCTCGTCACATGTATTCCTGAGCCAGCTGAGGCTAGTTGCAAGACCGTCAACCAGTGGAACGTCAAAAACTCCGCGGAGTCGGAAAACATCAGCTGGATTCGGGCGCACACCAAGAAGTGTCCGAAATGCTGGGCACCTAGCGGCTCAAAGTCAGGGAATTTAGGGTTTAGGGTTTAAGGTTTAGGGTTTAGGGTGCACCTCATTGTCACAGTCCCAGAAGGCTAGCAAGCCCTCAGCATAGATTGTTTTGTCTTAGAACAAGTTTTACGTGACGGGCGTGTGTGGACCCTAATTAATCTTGCACTCTGCTTAGTAGGTGGGGACTGCCCCTGCAAAATCAAAAAAAGGGGCGTGCTCAATAATTAAGGCTCCCACGGTACTGAGGGCTCTGGGGATTACTTTAAAGGGGATGTCGGGATTCGGTCGGTCAGGGCAGAACCAAACACATTACCGAGAGTCGTGAAACAATAGGCCAAAGCTTATTAAGCGGCGGCCGAAAGACATTTAGGAGAGTCTCTTGGCTAAAAAATGAGTGCAACTTGAGGTGTCCTAGCAGTAGTCGCAGCCGATGAAAGCTTTAGGGATCTGTACGCGGGTCACAAGACCTGCTTAACATTTGGTATGACCACTACATGATGCCATAGCAGCGGAGGGCTTGCGCATGGAGAAAGGAAACGGATCCCACTTGCCCCCTGCCTATGGAACCTGACAAGGGGTCTTACGGATTCTTGTCATCCTGAAGGAAGCCCACTTGAAGCCTTATGTGAGCTACAGTTCAAAGTCCTTAAAGGGGCTATATAGGGGATTATATAGGGCACTATTATAGGGGTCATTAAGCGGGATACTAAGTGTTTAGACTATAGCTCTTATGTTATGGACTGTTTTGATAGGTGTGGACAGTGCGGAGAGGCAGCAGAAGCGCTAATCCCCTCCCCTTAATATTAAACCCCCACCCACCCCCCTAATATAACATATTCCCAAGATATATTAATATGCCACATAATGGGCGTATTCAATATTCGGGGTGGGGGGGTGGGGGGCTTAACGCCTTAAATCCGAAACCTTAGGGGTGGGGGGTGTTTAATATTGTGGGGAGGGGATTAGTCACAACAAGCAGAGAATGGCTCGAGCTTGTGAGTGCCAAGACGTTCATGTCCTAGCTTGGCCAAGGGTGGTTTAGGGGTTAGGGGTGGCCAGATGTGGTTTAGAGCTTAAGAGTAGGGATTCTGCACGGACTCAGTTCTGGTATTTGCCGAATCTTTGGTAGTACTAAGTTTTAAGACCTGCGCGAGCGCCTACTCCCAATTCGAATGCTGCACTGGCACTTTGGCATCATGCTTTAGATGCCGTAGATGTTCTTTGCCCAAGCGCATTCAAAGACGTTCAGGCCACAAGCCCATCGAGAAAAATCAGGGCTGCAACCACATGGTGTGCTCCAAGGCCGCTTCGGACCATATTTTGGGAGATTCAAAAGGGCTGCGTTCAAGAGGGCGGAGAGACACAGACAGACAGTTTCCGTGTACTGCAATGTGGCCGCTGCATGCCGGGTATTACATTCTTCTTTTCCTTGGTGCTCAATTATGCTGGGTTGCTGTGAGGGAACTTGAATCAAGAATCAAAATTGGTATATATGATGATTAAGACGTTTTTCCGAATATAGTGACTTGAATTAAGTTTCTTAGATACCTATGTTCCCCCAGTTTTCATTTTATTTTCCATTTGATTCTCCATGGTAAGGGAATAATGTAGTAACTTAAGTTATGTTCCTTAACAGAAACCCAGTATGGGCGCCGGGACCAAGGGCTTGCTAGCGGATTGAGTCTGTACTGAGGTGTGGGCGCAATCTTCTCCCGCCCACTCCAATCCTAAGGGCCCCCCTACCCCCCCTAGTATCAAATACTCCCATTATGTGGTATATATTGGGAGTATTTAATGTTAGGGCGGTTGGGGGGGGTCACATTAGGGGGAGGGAATTGGGGTGTACAGATTGCGAACCAGAACCCCCCTAAGCCATGTGATGTATGACCCTCAATACCTCAAGCTTCTCACAGCGCCGGCAAAACCCGGAGGATCCCCCATAGCAGCAGACAGAAAATATCAAAAGTTTTTTGGAAAATATAATAGTAGGAGCTATATATACTTGGGGGTATACAGGGGCCCTTTCTGCGAGTTTCATTGTCCGGGACACAGAACGTGAAGTCAACTACCGCTTCCAGTGGGGAGGTCTAACTTTCGAGGCTTGGAGTGATTCCCTCCAGCAGTCCCATAGGGAAGAAGGGAACATATTATACGGAGATTATATATGGATTATAGTCCCCCTCGAGTAGATAGAATATAGCTTTGAGTATTTTAGAACAAGATCCCCTTATACCCCATATTCTATCTACTGAAGGGGGACTTTATATTGCCTTATTCCCTGCTAGGCACCTGTAAGATACCAAGGTTATCGGCTTTCGTACACTCCCTACACTTCTACAGAGTGCCCATAACATTGGGTTTCGGGTTAAGGGTTGTAGGGTTTGAGGGTTTAGGGTTCATAGGGTATGGGTCAAGTTTGATTGCAAATTTTACTGTTTCAAGCGATTGTCATGATTCGCGGTCAGGCTACAATAGAAATCAGTTGAACCTCCTATTCCCAAATTCATAGCTAAAGATTAGGCTGGAAACCTCGAACTTTTACGAAGTCTGCCATAAAGGCTGCACCTGTGGATTTCAACAATTCGGAGGATGATCTCCGTAGAAGCCTGGTAAAGACATGGCATCCTGTCTTCCAAAAAAGTTTTGGAAGTTGTCGGACCTTACCCCTCAACACTCAAGCACCAAACCATGGAGCTCAAAAGACGCCCCTATCTGTACTAGACCAATTAAGAAGGCAGGGCAAATTCATGATGCGTCCCGACCGCTATTAGAGGTTAAAGAGAGGCTGAATAACGGGATCGAGCCCTTGCAGGGTGGTGCCCTCTAATTGCAGACTGTACTTGTACATCCGACAACTATATTTCATAGGACTCATAACTATACATCAACCCCCCTCTTCACATTATGACCCTGAATCTTTGCCATTGTCATTGCAGGCAGGCGGATGCGGCCACGAATTCTGCTGGCTTTGTTTAGGCGAGTGGTCTACGCATGGCACTGCCACTGGAGGGTCACTCTGCCTCTTTGGATTCAGGGGAAGGGAAAGCTGTCAACCAAAGAGCCCTTTTTGCCCCCTGTAAACTACGCACCCCTACCTTGTTCCCCACTCAACTCATCAGACACCCACCCACTCAGCGCTGTGTTTCTGCTCGAGCTACAAAGCCTTGGTTGGATGTAAGGAGCCGAACACTTGGCTAATCACTGCCTCAAATTCTGAACCTCTTAGGTTGCCAGCCAACGGCAACGTTAGGTCGGGGATTCAGGCAATAAAGCAGGTAATTCAATGCCTTGCAGAACCCCAAAATCACCAAGCGCGACCTCCAGAATATCATAAGCCAATCTGGTTTGCAGGTCTTAGCATCACTTGTCCCCAACGCCTACTAGCACAGCTCAGATACTTTCTTGTAATTCTTTGATGTAAAGCTGGTCCCACACTCGAGAACGTGTGGGAGAAGCTGAGAATGATGCTGGAAGTATGGTTGGCCATTATAAGTGCAATCAAGAGGAGGCGTGCTCGATTAGCTCCTATAAGGGGCGCAGTGCTAGGCGTTTATGGTGCGAAATGAGGGTCTAAAGTGGCGAGCCACCCGTCTCGGTATGTTGGTTTAGGGTCTTGGGTTTTGGGTTTAACTGTTGAAAATTGATTGGGGTTGAGGTGTTACCTCACACCTGAATTGTTCGAGCCAACCCCTCCCCCCTAGTATTCAGCACGCTCTTCGAATGTTAGTTGTTTCCCCAGTGTCTGCACTCACATATATGTACATATCTTTATGTGTGTAGGCGCTTGTATGTTTGTGGGCCGAGGTGTGTTTGTGTGTGTATATATATGTACACATGACATGTTTGTATATGTGTATGTATGTCCAAATGCATACATACATAGATACATACGTTCACAAGTAGTATTAGAGCGTGGCGATGGGGTGTTCTTTATTAGAGAGGGGTTCAAGCTCGCGTCCATCGTGCGGCTCACTCTCAGACTTCCAAGCGCTGTCTTCTCGTTGCCTGCAGCACGATGCGCATGTTGAAATGCTCAAAATCTGACCGAGGTACTACCAGTGCAACATCTATGACAAGCAGTCCAAAGAGGGCAAACATGCCGATGAGGCCAAGTTGATTCAGGTTTTCACCGCAGCCTAAGGTTCAGTAGGTTGAGCTTTTAGGGCTACGGCCCAAGGACCTGCACAGGCAAGCAAGGGCGAAAGGCGTTCAAGCAACATATCTAAGCGTCAAGGGCCGAGATGGTTGGACTCTCAAAGCTCGCCGTCTTCTTGGGGACCTGGAAAAAACAGAACAACATCAGTTGGGTGGTATTCGTTTTAAAGGAAGGTCTGAACGCTTGCCTTCAACGCGGTCGCCTGCTGACGGCTACTGCCGTGTACAGCCCGCAGCAGGTTCCGCCTCAGTTCGCGCTTCTTTCCCTTGGGATCCAAGTATACAACTAGAGTACCTACATGGGACCCTAAAGTCTGTAGATAATACCTACGTTGGGCTTGGATCCCTAGGGTTAATTAGCAAGCTCAGCCCTCGAAACGCGTACCGTGGAAAGCCTAAATCTTATGAACCTGATCTTTAGTCCAGAAAACCTGAAACCAAATTATGCCGCTTACCCAGACCCCCCATGCACCCTCCGTCAAGCCCAGATCCACAAAAGAAGAGGTGCTTGGGGGTCCTGGTAGAATATCCTCAGCCGAAGCTTCAGACAGCAAATCCTACGCCTTCCTTAGAAGCCTTACACCTTACTGATTTTTTTTTTCCGGATGTAGGTAGGTAGGTAGGTATTGTAGCTATAATATGAAGCCGGCGAAATACGGAGCAGCAGCAACCCACATGTAGGTGATTTAGATTTTAACTTGGAAGGGTCCAAGCACCCAAATAACACTACATGCTATAGTCTGAGTGCTCCTTGGGTATCGAGCCCCGGTCACTTGGCTAGCTGGACCCTTAGCGTAGGGCTGGCAGATTCTGCGAGGAAAAGTCTCGGCTGAAAGCCAAGCATGCGCTGGACAAGTATATGCTGCCTGGCTAACCATGACTGCTACTGTCAATACTATAGGTTTTAGGGTTTAGGGTGGTTAAATGAGGAATCCCATTCTTTATCATTTATAACTAATCCCGTCAGGTCTGGGGGGTCGACGTTTGAGCTACCGCCAATCTTGAAAGACAAAGGCTGGAATGAAGTAAGGTGCCTTGATGTCTCTATGTACGACATACCCTTATAGAGTGCCAAGCTCCTTACCTACGCAAGTATAAGGGTCCCCCAATATAGACCACCAAATACTATAACCCTTATTATACCCCAAAAAGGGGCCCCTAATTTTGGGAAGCCGCGTGTTGCTGATGCTATGATTCAAGCGCCGAGGCCTTGGATTTTGGAGCCAGAGGGTTTGGGTGTACATGGCCACAGGTTGGGCTCAGGGTTTGCTATCTAAATCCAGCTTCCATTTCATGTTCCATGCTCTTTTCCATTTGATTCTCCATTATAGGGGGAATGTTGGACTCTCTTTAAACTCTATACCCCCGCTAGCCATGGGGGGTTCAGAAAAATGAGAACTTGAGACGTCCACAATAGGGCTTCCACGGTACTGATGGCCCTGTGCCGCCTTGGGGATTGCTTGAAAGGAGATGGTTTGGATTCGGTCCTGAATTTTTAGGGGCCCAAATCATAACACATTATTCAAGGTCTTCCCAACAATGCCTTGAAATTGAATACATCGGCTGCCGAGATGCATTATTCAAGGTCGCTTCACTAAAGTCTGTGCAGAATTAACCTATAAGCACGCCTGTATGGACCCGTTAGTAGTTCGGATCTGTCTGGAGTCAGTGGTATGGAGATGTATCAAGCACTTAGAGCTTTTTTTTGTTGAATACTGCTTCCAGCCTTCCAGAGGTTTCCTAAAAGGGTGGGGGCAGCATCTCAAGTTACAAGTATGGAGGAAGCTGCATAGATGCTGCATGAACATTACCCACAGCCCCTTCCTGCTATAAATCGTAGAGCATATGCCTAAATCCTAGACAGAGCCGCCGCATCGAAGGTTTTACTTTGAGCGCTTCATGGATCATGACCGGGGCATGAAGCTTACGGTTACCGAAGAGCAGGACCCAATCTTTCCCAGCGCCGCAGATGTGTGTGCAGCAGCTTCCCGGTCGGACGGAATATGTCTGGCACTACACAGGTAAGCGGGCATGCAAGGTTGCTCCAGGGTAGCATGATATGACCCACCAGAATTCAGGGTGCAAGGAGTGTGTTGAAGGGGTTGCCATATCATTGCATGTTCCATCACTTTAAAGACGATTCTTTGCTGACTTTGGCAAGTTAGTTCGGGCCAGAGAAATCTCAAATTCGCACGGTTTCCTCTTGCTGGGTTTTTGATGCACGATGGGTATCCAATTGTTTTTCTGCCTCGAGGCAGCCCTAAAACTTCCCCATAGTCCGTAACGCTTAAACAGCGAACCCAACAAGCTCTGAAAGCTCGACCCAGCACCCTTAACCCCCATAAACCTTAAACCCAAGCCACCACTGCGGAGTTTAGAAGGCCTGTTCGTCACGTGTACAGGCTGCCGCTGTCAGCCCTTTATCAACCTGTCATGGGTTCTCCACAGTTCTCCTACTGGTAGACCCAATGTCGTTTAATTTGGGGTGCGCAGCTTTCAGCCAGAAAGCGGCAGACACCTGGTTCCTCTGCCCAAGAGTCAGTACTTTCTCCAGACTAGCTGCTGTTGTCAGGAGCATCCTTTTATCCTTACATGAGTTTCAGGGTTCAGGGAGCGTGCCATTCTTCAAGCCCTTGTCCGAATGTGCAGGGGCCCTACAGGAGTGGCCTTGATCTTGCAACCAGCCATGAACCATTTATTCCTCTCGAAGCCACTGTCCTTGTCCAGGGTCGCGGGTTGGACCCTCGTTGTAGTGTGTTTTTTTTTGGTGTAGTGTGCGTTTTTTTTGGTGTGTGTGTGTGTGTTTGTGTTTCTGGTTTTGTACTTCTTTGGGGTGAGTTCCTAGATTGCTTTTGGGGATTCCTTGCATACATGCCTTACCCCAAATTCCCAGAAGAACTGATCACCCGCTAGGACATCGAGGGCAAGGTGCAGAAGCTTCACGATGACCATGGCTTCGAAATCATTGAACTCCAATTCCTCTATGATGCTCTTCAACTGCACTGCAGCCTTGTGCCTAAACCTTACTGAAGCATGGCACCCTGATGCCTGAGCCCTAGATCCCTCTTTTGATTTAGATAAAGACGATAAAGCCGAGGGCATGGCAGTAAGGCCGTGGTCCCGTGCTTGGTTGCCAGAAGGGGTGGGCGGCAGGCATCGTACACACATGCGCACCTACATATTGAACAAGCCCTTGCCAGGCTGACCAAATAGCAAGACAGCCCCAAACAAAAATGTCATATCCGAAGTCCGAAGAAGTGCTCAACCGGAAACACTGTGTACGGCTTTCCGTACGCTTCCATTGTGCCCCAACAAAGTCCTGAAGTTCCGGATTCCCACATAGTATACACGCAGGCGACAAGTTACGCACATAGGAGCTCACACGGGCGCAACGCCTACTCTACGTTGATACAGATTCGCGCCCCATAGTTACATAACTATGCTTTATAACTAGTAGGACATAATTAGACTTTTCCCTCTTACAAGATACTTGTAAACCAAATTAAAACTTAGTGGCCCAACATTGTAGTTGGTCCCTAATTACAACGAAGTGCCGTTGGACTCCCGGACCAGATCTCGGGACCCTTACTTCCGGATGTAAAGCTCTGTTCTTGAGTTTCCCAAAATAGGGGGACCCCAAAATATTATTATCTTTTTTTATTGGTAGAATGTAATGGGGAGGTACTGGGATAATGGGAAAGAAGCTTTAGGGTTTAGGGTTTCCCCAAAATGGAGGGTTGAGTTTGGCTTCCCCATAATGAGATGCAGCATTTTGTGGTGTTTCTGGTGGGGCCCTCGTATTTCGGAAAACCTAGGCTTTAATGGCATTTTAACCGTTTTGGCCCAAATGATGAGTGAAGGGCAAGTACGTGCTTGAGCAGGGCAATTAGCATTGGATTCTATACTGCCCCCCCCCATGCCCCCTCCCCAAAACAGGCCCCGATTGGCTTGTTCAGGGTTTGATTTACATATTTGGGGGTTGGGGACTCAGGGACGCAAGCGACGGTAGTATAGGATCTCAAGATATCAGGGGTATTTGGGGCGCCAAGGTATGGTTAAACCCTAAACCCGAAGCTAGAATATGGGGTAAAATTAGGATTATAGTGGGGCTATATGGGGATAATGGAAAAGAATATGGAGACTACTTTAATGGGTTTATAGGGTATAGAATATGGGGTATATAGGATCTTATTATAATATACCCAAAACCAGGTTTAGGGTTTAGGCTGTGAACCTGAAGTCCTGCCTAGGGCTACGCTGGGAACCAGCTTTCAGCGGTAGACAGCGCCTTCTTGTGTTACGGGTGATTAATCCTTAAATCAAACACCCAATGAGGCCTCTTAAAGATATTCTTGAATATCAGGGCATGGGGTGGTGCTTTATATTAGTCAAGGGATTACTGCCCGCCCCCCCCTTGACTTGATTTCACCAAAAAACTCCCCCTATAGTCCTAAACTCACACACCCTTAACGCCCATCTCTAGCGGCCTGAATAAAGAGCTGCATGGGACTTCTGTCGTGTACAGGGTCTGTGTGATTACTTGTCAAAACTTGGAGTCTCCAACTACAAGGGGCCTCGGATGCTCCTTAGCTACGAGTGAAACTTCCCCAGAACCTCTCCGACAGCTTTGTTGAACAAGGCCCAATGCCGTTGTACTTGACGCTTGTACATTACAGCCTAGAATGGGTACACGCTGTTATCTATGCTTATAAAGCGCCATAAAAGTTACCCATGCAAGTCCTGGTCCCTCTGAAACATTGTGGACTGTAATCAGAAGGAAGAATGCGGCTTCAGCTCCCAAGTACTACTATATTGTCAAGGGTTCTTGTCACCTAAAGCCCCGTTATTTGGGTACTTGGGCCCCAAGGGCTACATACCCTGAGCTTGAACCTTGCCTGAATACTCAACCATCCACATATCCATAACGCAAGCATTTGCTCATGGAATGGTGTATACACGGGCAATTATGATGGGTGTTTTGGGAAGTCGTTAGACCTCAGGCCCTAAACCTTATATATAAACTCTATGATAGTCTAGCACTCTCAACCCTCAACGTATAGATCCCAAGACCCAGGCACTTCGGCAAGTGAGAGCATGCCGTCGGATTCTGAAGCCACCTGTCTTAGCAGAGCCCTTGCGGATCCAAGTAAATAATGATTAGGGTTTAGGGTTGCTGGACACTTAGGATGTTATACGTACACCAAGGCTCCACGTAGGTCTGGTCTATATAGGCTTTAAGGCCCAATGTAGGTATTATTGATACACTCAGACCCTCAGGGTTAGGATGTGGGTAACATGCATCGTAGTATAGGATTGGGGGGAAAGTACGACACTTATGACCTTTGGGTACTCGGATCCTACTATGTGGGAATAGGTTTTGGAGGCTTTGGGTCTTTACGATCTAGGGTTTAGGATGCAGGGTCTGCGATTTATGATTTCCGGGAATGCCGCAGAGGGATGCTTGGAAAGTACAGCTGTCTTCGTGCTGTAGGGCCCCTTTTGAAATTCAAGGCTTGTTCGGGAAGTATAAGGCAACTCAAGCCAGGTTCGGGTTAACTTGGATCCTACAGAGCCTACTTTGAGGAGTCTATCCTCGATTTCTTTGATCCCCCATATGGAAATTTCCCCCAGTATAGATTTCAACATATTTTGATCCGTGTAATGCGGACCCCCAAAGAGTACCCCTAATTTTCGGAACCCCCATATCTACCCTAGGCCCTAAGCCCTCCACCCCAGGGTTCCGTATGATCCCTGAAGCAGTGTCTTGTCCATGCGGCATTGCCACGGTGAAAGTTTTCAGTACATCAGCGTAATTATATTTTGCCAAGTGTTGGGAGGGTGGGGGCATTTCGGGGCATTTGAGAATGAAAGATGGAAGTGTCCAGGAGTTTACACCTATTGCTCAAGGGGTCTAGGTTTTGGAAGCGGACATTCCCTAACCCTAAGCCCTAATCACCGACTTGACCCTGATGGCTGCTTTCCTGTCCCAAGTTTGGAGATTTCAACTTGCAATTCCTAAGCCTGAGATTGTGGGTTCAGGGTTTAGGATGTGCTGGTCCCACCAGGAAGTTTCGAGAACAGTCTCTAAGTTCTTTTTTTATTAGTTTTAGAGACTATAGTCCCCCTTAAGTTGATAGAATATGGGGTATATGGGGACCTTATTATGGTATACCCAAGTATACCCAAAGCCATATTCTATCTACTTAAGGGGGACTATAGACCCCCCCCATCATATTCCTCCCTGGCGCCCCCACGGGCCCGCGCCCCCAAGGGCCACTCCAGAAGGACTTGCGCTTCACTCCGGGTTTAGGGTTTAGGGTTGCAAAACAGCAAGTCCTGGGCTGTTTCTTTGTTTAATCTCCTCCACCTAGAATTAAACCCCCCCACCCCCTAATACTAAATGCTCCCAGTATTTTATAACATACCACATAGTGGGAGTATTTAATATTAGGGGCGGTGGGGGGGCTAAATATTAGGGGGACTAATCTCCTCCCCTACTAAAGTTTGAGCCTCCTCAACCCGCACATCAGAATAGTTAGTTTGATGATATACGTATGATTTACTGGAAAATACAGTGAGGGGGCAGGCGGAGGTTTAGGTGTGCGCGCAGGTGATGTTGCGGGAGGTTTCGGGGCAGATGATTATCCTTCAGTGCAATTCATGAACTGGGTCACCCTTCACTTTAAGCAGGCCCGAACAGGTTTGCATTCGTGACTTTGTCTTACAGCCGTGACCCAGTTTCGACAAACAACTAAAGAACAAGTTTAGATTGCGCTGTTTCGGAGGTGGACATACGTGTACGGCTACTACTTGGACGACTCGAATGCAACACGCCGCAAAATACAGCTGATGCTGAACAACTGTATGACCGTCATGAGTTTAACTCCCATATCTCCGAAGGTATAACGTGCTCAGGGTCGTGCAGGGCTTTGAGTATCAACCGTAGTGACATGTTAGGTAGGTTCATTTCCCAGCAGCTTGTGTTAGGCTGCAGCTACAGATTGCCAAGATGCCTTTTTGTGCATGGTACAGAAGTTCGAACATATGAACTATGAACATCAACGTGTCGGACAATGTCGGATATAAGCCTTCTGACAACTCATACGTCGACTATCCTACACCATTGCTGGGGGTGCCCCCTCATTACCTCAGAATGCTTATAAATCCCATAACCATAAGTACAAGGACTCGCAACAATACTTATCCCCCTCATAAGTAGCGTATACCCCAAGTTATAGCTCAGGGGTCCCACATTGCAGATGTTTGGTCCCCTTTACACGGCCCAACATGACGAGCAATGACCTTGAACAACCACTAAGGGTGGATCTGGCATTTGCCAAGTGCTGGCAGCATCTCCAAACCCATCCAAGACCCCGTAAAAGATCTCCACATGGTCCGTCCTGCTGGCCGTTTGGGAAGCGTATTTTCCAGTATTAGGCCGGTATAGGAAAGCACTGGGGCATATCTTGGTGCAGTACCAGATTTCATGGTTCAGCGCACACCGAGCAAGCATGCGTGGTCCAACATGTAGCAAATTTCAAACGGCACCATACATACCGGAATCTTTGTGCTATCTAGTCCGTGGGATCACATGCAGCTTGTCAAGCGGCGTTATCCCAAAACCTGGAAAATCACCTTTGCACGTGTCTTTGGCTGAAGGAGAAGAACCTCTTCGAGTTTTTGCAGAAGAATCTAGAAGAAAAAACGGATGCCCTGCACGAAATGTTGGAGAAGGACTTTGACCTCCCTCTTGACAACTTAGCTTTAAAGTGTTTCCTGCGTCGCTCTGTTGAGGTTTTAGGATGCACTCTCGGTTTCGGCTTTTGTTCGTAGATTTCTCTTTGCTAGGGAACACATGGTACGGACTGTCGTTAGTATTGTGGGGCAAGTTCGAGACATTTTCAGAGGTGGACAGTCTGCAGCAGGACTCTGCAGGGAGGTGGAGGTTGCTTCGACGTTTTGGGTTTAGGGTTGCCCAAACGCCCCCCAGACAGGATGTTCTCTTTAAGAACCATTGGTTCTCGTGTACATAACCTGTGAAGGAGTAGTTAGTTTTCTGGCGATCTGTCCTATTTGGTGTCTCCCAAAAATCTTAGCACAATTAGTCGCAACAGTGTCATTTTCAATTTAGTCCCTCTTCTAAAAGGATGACTATTCCCTTTGGTTACAGTAGTTTCGCATCCGTGTTGTGAGACGTACATGACCTTTACAGTTCAGTATTGATCAGGCTGTGGTTTCGGATGTTTTTGCCATCAAACTGGAAGACTACAAAAACCGAAATGCCCCAGAACCAAGGCCTACGTCCCCGAGCGTGATTGCAAGAAGATACAACAAAACAGTCTGGAATCATGGGGAGTCATCATTAGGCAGCTGGCTTCTCTAGGGGGCCGGGGGTTGTGGAAGCTTCGATTCAAGAGTTCCCCCACCCCTACTTTCCCTAGCCTAGTTCGGCCAAATTATCTTCAAGCAACCGTACTAGGCGGGCAGTAGGCGAACTGACAAGTGGTAAGATGCCCATCTTAAGCGTCCAGGACAAAAAAGCTGGCTATCATGGCTTCGATGTAGGAGGGCGCTTTTCAGAAAGAAGCTGAAGGGCTGATTCGGACATACCCAGGGGCTCCTATGTAGTTCCTTTTGCGTCTGCGATGTGTTTAGATAAGGGTCTGTAATATCCGGCCCAAGAAGCTACAAAGGAGGCTTCGGGCAGGGTTCCCTGCTGGCAAACCCCTAAACCCACTGTATATTGTAGTTTCCATTTTCTTTTCCATTATCCCCATATAACCCCTATGTACCCTAAAACCTATACAACCCCATTGTAGCACTTTCCATTCTCTTTTCCATTCTGAATGCTGAGCGGGTGCTGCGAGGATTTCGAGAGGCGGTTCTTTGAGCAAGGGGATGCGCAGCAACTCACAAGAAGCTGGGACCTGCAATGAATTGAAGATCTGAGTTTTTGGAGGAGTTTAGAGGGTTTCTCCCAAAATTGGGGGTACCACTTTGGGGTCCCAATAATGAGGATTACCATATTTGGGGGTCTATGTATTGGGGGCCCCTTATTTTGGGAAACTACCGCTAGTGACTGTAGTGTTGTGGGTTGAGTATGCTTAAAGGCCCTGGAATTACCTTAGCAAGTTCTGTTGAGATTCGCAGCATTAAGCAAAGCGTGCCATGTCCGGGAAGATCTGTTGCCCTCCGCTACTATGTGACACGAACTTTTGAGGGCAAACATAGCCGCTCAGGAAAAGAGGATGTGCATCAGAGCTTCATGGAATTCCGTATCTTGGCGCAGGCATGTGCTGAGGTTTGGGGTTGAGAGCTTATAGGGCTTCGTTGATATCATGGCTTAGCTGCCCCGCGGTGATCGGTCACATAGCTAGGTCTAGGTGACAGCAGGAACTTCTCTCGTATTTCAGCACCTCTTCGTGATAGGCCACATACTCGCTAAGGGGAACCTCTTCATTCTCCTTCAACGAGACAACCAAACAAGTAACAATTCACAGAAAGATCTACGGTCGTATTTATATAATTCCCTCTGACAGTAAAGTATCGCGAATGCCATTTCAATCACAACCCTAAACCCCTAGGGTTTATTCTTGCTCCTCTACAAATGCAGAGAGGAGGTTTTCCTTGTCAACGCTTTGCACCAGATCTCACTTCACAAGCCAATGCCCTGCAAACCCTGAGGATATAGGTTTCAGGGCTAAGTAAGAGTTTAGAGCTGCCTGGATCCTAGACTCTGGCCTTGGATGAGAGATCCGACTCCTTAAATCTGGAGCTGGGCAGCCATCAAACACAGGACAACCGGAGGTTCGAGTAACAGATCCCCATAGTGCGTAGCGAATGCCATAAGAGGTCACAGTCCGTCAAAGCCCTACACCCAGACGGGGTCTATGGAGTTAGCGTCTAGCAGTGTTTAGGATTAATGGTGTGCCAAACCCACCTGAGTCCACAGACAGTCCACCAGGGTGGGAAACACCAACGTATAGTGTAAAAAAACATTGCACCTCAAACCGAGAGATTGAAGCCCCATGAGCCTGTATACTACCCAGTTCCCATATATGTTTCCATGTGTTTAACCATTTGATTCTGCATTATTGGGGTAATGTCGCTACATACCCTAAACCCTAAACCTGAAAGAATTAGTATTTTCCCTGTTCTTTTCCATTATCCCTATAGAACACCCATATGCTCCCTATTTAATCCCTATATAGCCTCCCTATACAACCCCCCTGAAAATCTCAACCCAAAACCCTAAACCCTACGTAACCCCTAATTTCAACAGCCTTGCACGTAAATTTGCAGTTTGAACGGTAAATCCGACCTGCCAAGCCAGGAGCCAGCCCCCTTCCTTGCTATAAAGGGGTTTTGGGTTTAGGGTTTGGGGTTTTAGGGTTTGGGTTGGGGGTTTTGGGGTTGAGGGTTTAGGGTTGAGGGTTTAGGGTTTAGGGTTGAGGGTTTAGGGTTGGGGGTTTTAGGGTTGAGGGTTTAGGGTTTTAGGGCATTTTAGGGTTGGGGGTTTTAGGGTTTAGGGTTGAGGGTTTAGGGTTTAGGGGGTGTTACAGGGCATAAGGTCTTAACTTCCTGGACTTCCCAAATGCCTATAATAGTAGCACTTAGCCCCGACTGGTGGTTAGTAGGAAACATGGGAATACAGTATAATCCCTATATGTAGGGAACAAGGGAGTATATGTAATCCCTCTAAATTCCCGTATAATCATATTGCCTTATTCCCGACAAACCACCCCGTCAGCAAAAGAATGGGTACGTCATTATGCTCAGGGTTTAAGGCTTCAGGATTTTAATGTACCCTAAACCCCTAAACCCTAAACCCCTAAAACCCTTAACCCTACACCCCTAAACCCCTAAACCCTACACCCCTAAACCCCTAAACCCTGAACCCCTAAACCCTAAAGTGTTTCTGCTTCAGCGCAGGTTCGGGTCAAGGGTTTCTAGGGTTTAGGGTTTAGGGTGCAGGGTTTGATTTAAGGCCGCTGGCCCAGGATTTTTTCAAAAGGGGGTTTAGGGCTTAGGGTTTAGTGAAGATACAATTTCTACAAGGCGCACAAGGGGACTATCCCAAGTTAAGCTTTGTAAGTTGTGGGAGGAAAGGCTACAAAGACGAAGACTTCCAAGAAGGAGTTGCATGGGGGTTGCTGAGGAATAGAGGACCCTGAGCGACTCTAGGAATGCATGTGGATTAGGGTTTAGGGTTTAGGGTTTACGGACACTATAAGGTACTTCATAACTACACAGGGATGAGCTTAAGATACTCAGCTGTCCAAGTGACCCGGTTGAAGCATTTTGCGGTTCAGGGATTATGATGTAGGGATTCAGGTTTCAGGGCTTAGCTGTGTGGAGAGGTGTGTGTTAACCTGAAACTTGAAGCCCTTAACCTGATTTCAGTCCAGATCTCTGACTGCTAAGCACGGCCAGAAGGCACCCACCAATTCCCTAAAGGACCAAGGACCCAAATGATAGGGCTTTAGGGCCCTAATAACTTAATATTACGGTATTTGGGCCCAAAAACCCTATTATTTGGGTCCTTGGACCCTAAACCCTAAACGCTATATATTCCCCTATAACCCGCTATATATTCCCCTATAACCCCTTTAAAGGGACCCTATTATTTGGGTCCTTGGACCCTCAGGGATTCTAAGAGAATTTTGCTCAAGGGACATCCTCAGCCTTGCCGTTTCTTTTATGGTGGAGGGGGGGGGGTTTAGAGTTTAGGGTTTAAGGTTTAGGGTTTAAGGCTTAGGGTTTAGGGTTTAAGGTTTAGGGTTTAAGGTTTAGGGTTTAGGGGAGATGTGGATAGGGCTTGTTTTCCTGTTAGCAGACATGTTCAGTTCTCAGCAACCCACCATCTGATACGTTTTCTGTGTAAATGTGTTCAGTGTTGCAACCTAAGTTCTACTCAAACCATTTTCTGCCGTGTATTAATTATCATCGGGGTTTGCGAGCTTCCACAATAATTCGAGAAGAAATGTTTGGAGGTTGACTCAAAATGAGCATGTTTCCGCAGTGGATTTGATCTGGGGTTTAGGGTTTAGGGCAAGAACCAAAACATAGTGTGACCTAAGAGATTGCTGTCAGGATTGCTGCCATGGCCGTAGGTGCGCAGTGGCTCCCCCAGGCTCTAAGCCCCAAACCCCAAATCCTACACCCTAAACCCTAAGCCTCTGTACTAGACAAGGTGGACATCCCTGCAAAAATTGCATTGTTGCGAAAACGACTGGAGGAGGACGTTTGCAGAAGGGCTTCGGATTAGGATTGCACGCTCCCTAAGTCCACTGGTTTGCAGCTTAAAGTTTAGGGTGAAGCGTTTAGGGCCTGTTCTGGGTTTAGGGCAACCAAAATGGATGGGAGAACATGTGCAGTATTCAGGGTAGGGAGTGCTTCATGTCGGGACGGACTCTACCCTCCGAACGGCATAGTTGTAGGACTTAGGGTTTAGGGTTCACGGTCTAGGGCTTGAGTGGTAACGCAGACTCCTGCAAAGAGCAGTTCCCAATGAATCTTATCTTCAGTAAATGGGACGAGATTTGAACGAGTTCTACTTGCACTCTTCGACCTCGCGCGTATCCGGCAATGGATGCTGATGAGGCCGAGAAAGCAGCCGATGACAACAAAATGAGCGGCGACGACCCGAAAGCTGGCAAAGGAGAGGGTAAACAAACCAACTCCGAGAAAGCTAGGTGCCTCCTCCTGCTTTGTAGTGACAACTGCAACCATGA